CACGGATGGCCTTGGACGCCCTCGGGTGCACAGGCGGTAGGGCGGGCGAGGTGATCCGTGCCGACCTGCGGAGGGGTTCCGCTGCTAGGCTGTCGTGACCTTGCCCCTCCACCGCTGCTGCTCCGACCTCCCTCTGGTGGGCATCGCTGGCAGCTAGAGTCCTTCGATCTGTCGTATTGGTCGAGTTCGCTGGTTGAACCATGTTCGCTCGCGTGTTGGTTTAAAAGAATTGGGATGACTTAGATTGTCGTTCCCACAGACGGCGCCAAATGTTTATGCAAGGATATGCAGTGTTTCAGATTGCAGCTCGAACTCGGCCTCCGGACTGACCTGAACGCTTGGGCGGACCTGCACAAAAAGGTGAGCACTCCGACGATCAAGTCAGTATAGGTCGGATTCCCAGTTTAGTTCGAGGTCAGAAATCATCGTACCTGATCGTGGAGTGAAGTCCTCTACTTATGGGTGGTAGTCCCGCTAATCTCGCGACGGTTACGTTCGGTAATCTCGGGACCGTCGGTTACACCCGGTAATCTCGGGACCGACGGTTACGCCCGATAATCACGCCGTAGACAGTTGCTCACATCGGCCCCTACCAAGCTCCCCGGTAGGTCGGACCTGGGCCAGGTTCACCTCGGCCCTCATACTTAGCATTTGTCGGCGTTGGTGGCGGCCATCTCGGCCATATGAGCTGGGCATGACTCATGAGCCATCTTGGAGCACCAATAGGGGTCCTCCACGTGTCCAGGGTATTCCCTTCTCCAAACAAAATCGTTAGTGGAAACACTTAATTTCTAAAGGAAGGGGTGTCTGCATGAAGAAGGAGGTGGAGCGCTTGAAGAGTAAGAGAGGAAGATGAAAGAACGTGTACCTAAGGGTTTAGCCTTTATTTTATTTATTTTTATTTTATTTGATAAAATTGAATGACTTATCGGGTTAATTTGTTGAGTTTTTCTTTAGCATTTTTAATTTGTATCATCTAAATAAATATACTTTAATTTAATTAGTTTTTTAAGTGATATTTTAATTTAATTAATAACATATCTTAGACAACTATAAATGTCTAATTTAAAAACTATATAGATCACATTTAACTAAGAAGTTTCCTTTCTTTATTTTTGAAAGATGTTTTCCTAAAAATCAATTGCCCCTGTAGCTCACTGGTAAAGTATCATTCTTGTAAACTGAAGGTTTGTAGTTCAATCCTCTACTAAAAAAACTCTTGATTTTTTATAAAATATCTTATAATTTTTAGCTATCTTATTCTTTTTTATATATTTCTGTATTTATTTAAAACTACAAAATTTCACGTGCACCGTGTTGCTAACTAGCATATTTAAAATGGTACATCCTCACCAATTTTCTTTTTTGTTGAAAGAGGCATCACTATTCATTTAGAAAAAGTATTTGAAAAACATACCACAACTGAAGGATAAATAAAAGGTACATCCTCCACCATTAATCGCAACAAATTTAAAATCCATTACAAAAATTGTATTCAAGTAAATTTTTTTGTCAACCAATATATAATTATATATAAATAAAAAATATATTGACAAAGACAACCTTGTGAAATTTGGATTTTCCATAAAGAAGATGGCCATTTTAAGAGTATACAACCTTTTTAATGTCCGACTTTTTGTGTCAATGATCTTTGAGTACTTAGATTGAAAAATAATTTTTTTTATTCTTATTTTTTCATTTTCAATTAAGCAAACATGTCTTTTCGAGAGATAATTAAAACTTCTTCAAAATTGTTGATGCGTGGACTTCGGTCCTCCGGTTCTCCTCCTCGCACCCACCAAACTTGTTACTTCGGGACTAGTACCTGCAAAACCAAATCGAGCTAAACCGGTGTGACTCTAGTTACACGGACTCCAATGCTTAAGTTAGCAAGAGAATAGCGTAAATGTAGTCAACTTTTGGATGCCCTTACCTCTAAGGCTGGATCGCTACTTATAGCGTGAAGTTGTTC